GGGGCTGTTGCCATGAGGGGCCTGGCACTCGGCCACCCGCCTCACCCGCCAGGCCCCCTACCGTTTGTCAAAGGCGGAGCTCAGCTGGGCTCCGTCGGGGCCTTTGGGGACAATCCCCACCCAGATCTGGTGCTTGTCGATGACGTGTGGGTTCTCCAGGCAGACTGGGAAGGGGCTGGAGGGAGGCAGGGGGTGGTCCCTGTGAGATCCTGAACCCCCAGCAGCCCGGCAGCCCAGGGAGGCGGGGCTGGCTTCGGGACCCCACCCCCAGGGCGGGGCCAAGGGACAGCCCTTACATCTGCATCTCCAGGGTGAAGGAGGACACGGGGGCCAGGGTGCCGCTGGTGAGGATGAGGGTGCGGACGCCCTGGTGGACCAGCTCACGCATGCTGTGGCCAGGGCTGAAGCACCAGTAGCTCAGCACCTTCCCTGCAGGGGGCGGGGGCACGTGTGTGAGGCCCAAGCCGCCTGCCCCGCAGCCATCGTGTGTCCCCCAAGGCGGTGCTGGGCCCTGGGGCCCAGGTGCACAAGTCTTCCCCGGGGGGCCTGCCCGACCTCCCTCGGGGTCCCAGGAGCAGGAAGCAGACCAGAGAAGCCCGCCAGCATCCTGGCGCCGGGGGAGGGGGACGCTGAAGTCTCTTCCAGAGAGGTCAGCCTACCCCAACCCTAGATGTCCTTGTGGCTCAGTGAGGAGCCGGCCTCCCCGTGCCTGTACGCCGGGTGGGATTGCAGAAGAGGGAGGGGCGCAGGCCCACGGCCCCTGCAGGCAGGAAGCCAGAGGCGACATCCTACACACATCCTGCCCAGCCAGGGAGGATGCCAGAGCACGGCCTGCGGGCAGACGCTCCGGCCCTCCCATGCGCTCCCCGTGGCTCCAGAAACAGGAGATGGAATAGCACAAGCGGATGCTCGAACTGTGACTCTCGGGTCAAGACCACGTCACAGGTCAGCAGGGACGCTTCCCAGAAAAGAGCAAACCACTTTCTGGGACCAGAGAAGCCTTTTCCAGCTTCCGGGATGGGACCTGCCCCTCGGTGGGGAGGATGGAAGCGCGGCTCTGAGTCCACAGTGTCCTGGGCCAGCCGTGCACCAGCAAGCACAGGAGTGACCATGGAGGACGATGGGGAGCCAGGAGCCCGGTCTCGGAGCGCTCCGGCTTCTCTGTCCAGCGGGGGTCTGAGGGCCAACCCCTGTGGAAACTCCAGGCAGGCCCCGGGCCGCCGGGCCCTCGGAGGTCTCTCACTTTGACAGCTCTGACTCTTAGAGGGCAGGTGGGACATCACCTGGAGAAGGCTGGACCGACAGGCGGCCGGGAGCCCGTAGCTGGACAGGGCACCGCCCCAGGGGGAGCATGTCCCAGCCACCCGAGGTGCCGTACCTTGCTTCCTAGCCGCCGTGGCGTTCCAGGCATCTGACCGCTGAGCTGTCCTCCGGTGACCAACATCAGGGTGGATGTGCACCTGGAAAGGTGGAATGGATAGGTGTCCTAGGCCCCACTCGGGAGCCCCCATCCTGGAGGCAGCCCCACCTTGTGAGGCCGCGGCCTGGGAGCTCCCCATCCAGGAAGCAGACCCACCTTGTAGGACTGACACCCTGGCCCCACCACGGCACTGGGGCCACCTTTAGCAGGGTCCACGCTAAACACGATCTGAAGAGCAGAGACGAGGGAAAAAGTCAGCAGGACACATTAGAGGCTGCCACTCCTGCTGAGTCCCTCCCACACAGGACAGACGGACACTCAGGACACAGCCACCACCTGCCCCTGCTTCCAAGCCAAGAGTGTCCCTGGGGCAGGACCCCAGGCTAAGGAGCCGGAGCTGCCTGTCCCCTCCCCTCAGGGGCCCTGCGCACTAGAGACACAGCCGCCCTGCAGGCCCCTCCTCAGCAGCCAGTCCAAGGCTCTCACGAGCACCGGGTCCAGGTCAGCAGCCCGCCCTCTCCACTCTCCCCTAGGGCTGGGTCAGGGGATAGGGGAAAGGAACCCCATTTACATTGAGAAGTATAGGATGAAATTAATCCCTAAGTAAAATAAGCAGAATTGTACTCTTAGCCAATGCAACAAACCAAGAAAAAAACCACAAGAGGGATAAACATGGGGGCAGAAAATACAACACACTATAGCCGTTACGAACAGGCCCATCTACTCAGAAAATCCAGAAAAACAAACAAACTTTTAGAATTGAAAACTGTAAGATAGCTTCACACAAGACCAACAAATAAAAGTCAATACTTTTCTTGCACACGAGCACCAGTAAGTTAAAAAGACCCCAGCAACAAAAAGTATGTAACGCTGGAGATAAAGCAAGACACAGACGTCACTTCCTCCAGAACAGTCTGTGAGGTCGCCCTGGAGAACAGAGAGCCGGACCTCTGGACATCACAGAGGCCCGGCTCTCCCCACAATAACCCGAAAGTCCAAGGCATCCCGGCCAAGAGGCTCCTCACAGAAAGGGAACGATCTGACGCTGACACTCGGCTGGTGGAAACAAGGCCACGACACGTTCAAAAGGGACGGCGTGTTCCACAGCCCCGTGTCTTCACGTCCCTCCAGGCGCCTTCTGCTGGGCTAGAGGCTGAGGATGAGGCCACGACTTCTACCCGGTGTCCGTGAAAACAGAGAAGACCGGCACCACCAGCACCCATGGGCAGGAGCCTCAGCCACCAAATCTTCCTACAAACAGGAAGGGCCTTGGAAGCCCGGATCAGCAGCCTGTTCTCAGCAAACTCCTGCCAGGCCCAGGGGATGTGGGCGCATGGCCGGGAGGAGCAGCGGGCACCCCATGGCCCTGCACGTGAGGGCCCAGAAGCACGGCCTGCCGGTACAGTGCAGCCCGTGAGGAGTAAGTTCCAAGGGCGAGAGGAGCTTCGAGACACACTTTCCTCGTCTAGACGGCAAAACACCTGGCCTTGTGATTCACCAAAGTGTCCGCTTGCAAGGGCGGAACCACACACACTGGACCTGATTCCGGAGCGGAGGCCACACCGCCTGGTGAGGCCACTCTGGGGCCATGGCTTCCCCTGCAAACCCCTGCATTGTGGCCCCAGAGCGGCCCTCACACCTCAAGGGATGGCCAGGAGTTGCAGACAGCGGTGTGGCTGCCCTGTGTCCAAGTGCCAAACACGGGTGGGCAGCGGGGAGGAGGTGGCAGGCACGGGTGCAGCTGTAGCCCTGAGGGAGCCCGCTGCAGCCCCCCTCCCCGGCTTGGGCTCTGCTGCCTGCCCACGGCTGGCTCTGCACTCCACCCTGGGGGCTCCGTCCCATCTGTGAGGCGGAGATGGGGCTGGAAGAGCAGCCGGGGTCACGGAGGAGAAGGAACATTCTAGCGTGGCATCCTGCAGGCCCGGGCTCTGCCCCCCTCCTCCCATCACTTCCGGCCGGGGCAGCGAGCGTCCCAGGTCTCTGCCCCCCGGGCGGTGACCCACCATTACTGCTGGGTCTCCAGGGAGTCCCGAGCCCCAGCTGCGGCGCCCTGGCCCTGCCCTGGAGGCCCTGCCCCTGCCAGGCGGGCCCTCCCTCCGTGGCGCCCTCTGCCCATCCTCCCGCCCTGCTCACGGGTCCCTGCAGCTGAACAGGCCAGCAGGCCGGGGTGCCCTCACGTCCGGGCCTGCACGGCCCCCTCCTCTCCCCGACGCCCGTTTATGGAGCGGGTTCCTCCCTGCTCCATACTCTCTGGAACCCAAACACCACTAACCCCATTGGTTTGGAATTTCCCTTGGCAGCTGCTCTAAGTAGCCCCTGGCAGGTGGCTCAGCTTCCTCTGCTGCCCAAGCTGCCTACGGGCCATACTCGCTCACCAGCCTGTCATGTCCCCTCCAGCTGGAGGAAGTGTGACCCAGCAGGTGCTCACCCCACATCCCATCATGATGAGCACATGTGGGTGCGGCCAGGGGCCCCGGGGATGCCGCCCTGCACAGGCGGACCGCAGGCCTGGCGGGCAGCACAGAAGGTGTCGTGTAGCCGTGGAAGCACCGTGAGGGGTGGGGAGAGACAAGGAGGGGGCGACAGAGTGATACGCTGCCGGGCAGGTCACCCAGGGCCTCTAGCCCACTGAGCCTGCCTGCAGCCAGGCACACCCCACTGTAACCCCGTGCAGCGTGGGCAGCCACGCACATGCCACACAGGGCCTCGGGTGCCCCGGTTTCCCCAAGGACCAACAGCCGCCGAGGGGCCTCTGCAGAAAGGCCCAGCGAGGCGCAGGAGGGGCTGGAGTGCCTGGAACCATCAGACTGGCCCTCAGCGGCCAGCTGGGCAGCCGCGCAGCCAAAGGCAGGCAGGCCCTGGTCTGTCCATTGAGCTGAGGAAGCGGCTCAGCTGGGCCTGAGGAGGACAGCTGGACACACAGGACGGCACGTTAGGGGCAGGAAGTGGTCACACCCAGAGGCCCTGAGGCGTGTGACAGCCCCCCGGTCGCCGGGCCTGGGGAAAGTGGGGTCTGCATGCGGCAGAGGAGGGGCTCAGTGAGCCCTGGAGGCTGCCCCTACCCCCAAGCAGATCCCAAAGCCCAGGTTGAGGCCGGCCTGGCCCAGAGGACCTGCAGACCACCCACTGACTCCAAACACCAGCCCCAGGCCCCACCTAATGGGCGTCGACGAGACACACTCACCCCTCGTCTCAACACCCTCTGGGCGAGGCTGGCCCAGCAACGCAACAGGGGCTGGGGGACAGAGTCCATGCCCCCCACTCTGGTATGGGCTTCTGCATTAACTTTCCCCTAAAAAGCTGTGTCAGCAAGAAACTGGAGAAAAGGCGGCAGCTGGCTGGGCAGGAGCCGCTGGGCCTGTCTGAAAACTGGAGGGACCTGCCAGACTCTCACCCTAAGTGGCCCCACTCCCCGCCTGGCCCCGCCCTCAAGGTCTGCGGCGGGTGCTCAGGGCAAGAGGAAACCAGCCCTGCAGTGCTGACTTGAAGCATGTGCTGGGGGAGCCTCGTCCTTCCCGAAGTCTAGAATCTATTGCCACTCTGCAGAAGGAAGCCCCACCAACTTCCATCAGGAAAGAAAAGGAGACACCACATCCTCGTGGCAGCGGTCCCTACCTGGATGATGTCTGCCAGCTTCTGCAGCCCTGCCGTGTTGGTGAACAGCCCCGCACCTGTAGGGGCAGCGGGTGCTGACCATCCACTGGGCTCTCCAGCCTCCATGTCGGCTGAGGGGCGCGCCCTCAGAGGGCAGCTCACCCTGTCTTCCCAGTGGGTCTCCCGCGGGTCAGTGGGACAAGAAGAGCGGCTCTGCAGCCAGACAAGACTGGGGCTGCCCAGAGCCCAGGAGCCTGGCAAGGCTGGGCGCCCCCGGTGAGACCAGAGGGCTCCGTGGCACAGCCTCTGGGAAGCGGTCCCATGGAAACCCTCTGGGCAGAAACAGAGTGCAGGAGGTCTGGGGGAGAGGACAGTGGGGCCCACAGCTCACGCCCCACCCAGGCCCCTCACTGCTCTTCCCTAAAGGGGCTGAACAGGGAAGACGCTCTTTGTAGGACGCACGCCACCAAACACGCTAAGATCTGAACACCCGCATCAAAAAGGCAGCTCCATGGGCCAAATTCCTGTCAGGCTGCGCCCTTGAGTAAGGAGTCAGCCACAGGGCGCAAGGTGGCCGGGGACTCACGTCCTGCCAGGTGTTGGATGATCTGGTCCAGGGAGTCAAGGATGCAGCCCTTGGTGTGAAACGTGATCTGGGCTTCGGCGAACAGCTCAAAGATGTAGCTACGAGGAAAGCGGCAGCTCAGGCCTGGCAGGAGACGAGGCTGCACTTTGGGAACCTAACAGCCAAAAGCATTTTAAGCTTCCTGCACCCAGAAACACGCTCTGAGCCTCCGGGGAGGCCCAAACCTGGAGGTGAAAGGCCTCTCCCCTCAGGAGCCCCAGTGGGGAGGACAGTGGCCTGCAGGAGACCGGCGTACCCAGAACAAGGCCTGGGCTTGGGGCTCGGGCCCCGCATGGGGGCCAGGAGGAGGTCATCAGGGCCTCCCTGAGGTGGTGGCTCTGGGCAGGGCACCCAAAGGGCAGTTCTGGAGAGTCGGGAGGGAGGGTGGGCAGTGGGAGCTGCAGAGGAAGCCCTGTGGGTGTGGGAGCCGGGGAGGCGTCAGGGCCATTTTGGGAAGCAACCGGGCCCTGCGAGGGCCTGAGCAGAGTGGAGCAGATGGGGGTCAGGGACAAGGCAGGCGGCCCAGCGCTCCAGAACATTCCCTGCCTCGACAGACCTGGGCCTGGGTCCCAGCGCAGCTGGCAGTGGTGCACCGAGGAGAGTGACACCTGCCCCAGGCCACCATACCATGGGGAACAAACCCTGCGGCTCGGAGGCCTGTGGGACATTCAGAACGTTCCAGGTGACTTTTCGTCCTAACAGAAGGTGGCACGGAGGCAGGCGCCTCGTTCTAAAAGGCAGCTGCAGTGCAGACAGAGAGGTGAACCAGAGGAGAGGGTGGCGGTGCCGACACTCTCAATGACCAAACCCTCCCGGACCTCCGAGACGGAAAGACTCTCTGGATTTTGACCCAGTGCCATTCCAGGCCACGTGGGGTGGAACAATGCAGGGACAGCCCCTCACCTCCCAGGCTTGGTGACACCGCCATCACCTCCAGGCAGCTCCACGGCGTCGATGGCCCCCTCCAGACGAAGCAGGATCGCTGTGGGGTTAGGGGCTCTCAGGGCGGGGCTGTGGGGGGTGGCCCACGGCAGGCGGGAGGAGGGGCACTTACTCTTCAGCTTTGCGAGGTCCTCCAGCTCCAAGTTCAGCCCTGGGCAAAGGAAAGCGCAGATGCACAAGTCTGCACCCTTCTAATGCCACCACCCCGTCCTAAGGAGCCAGGATGCTGGTGTGGAGGGCGAGACACTGACAGAAGAGGCTCTGAAACCCACATGGCTGGAACTTGACCTGGAAGCAGCAGCCTGAGCTGAGGGGGGCAGTCACCTTCAGAGAGACCCTGTGGATATACACATGGACATGGTTCTGAGCTGCGTTTTCCTGCTG